ATCAAATTTTGGCACATACCAATTACAATTCACTGTAACCCCAATTGTTCCATATTGCAAGGCCTGAGTAAAATGAAATTGAAATTAGTATGTCTATATTTGTAAGAATTACTAGCAGAAAAGTATCTACTAACCTGATATTTTTCTTTATACAATTGTACAGCAGTTGCATGAGAAAGAATGGAGTGATGCATCACTATATAAGGCTCAGTTGCTGAATTTCCCTCTGAGCAATTTCCTATATAGATAGAACATCTACCCGGTGCACCTTCGCCCGTTGCATAACCTGCCCCGGCAAATAAATTTGGCTCATTTAGGGTCGCCCATTGTTTCACTCTATCGCCAAATTCTTGGAAGCAGAGGTTGGCATAATCCCGAAAGTCGTCCCTAATAAAAAAATTTATTTGAAATTATCAATGATTAATTTATAAGTCCAATTAATTAATGATACAGAAACCTAAATTAATTTATAATTTACTAGTGTAATATTTACCATTAATGATCTAAATGACTTAGTATTAATATCTTTTCAATAAAAGTAAAAAGTTTGTACACCAATCATACAATATTTGGATGAGTGAATGAAAAAATAGCAAAGAGTTGCTTAATGAAAAAAAGAAAGAAAAAAAAGGAAGATTAGTGTGATATTAACTTACACAATTTTCGGGCTGAGGAATCCCCCATACTCATCCTCGAGTGCTTGTGGAAGATCCCAGTGGAACAAAGTAACAAAGGGTTGTATTCCTGTTTGAAAATTGGAATAGTGCAAAAAATTAAAAAAATTAGCAGAAGTTAACTAGTAAATTTGGTAATTGAGATATATATAAGAATTGAAAAAGAGAATGAAATTATGAAATTTAACCATTTGATAGGAGCAAGTCAATGAGACGATTGTAAAAATTGATTCCTTTTTTATTTATCCCGCTGCTGATTTTACCCACTGTTGAAGTTGCAAAAAGATGGTAAGTTAGCTTCAAGTTCACACCAATAAATTAAAGAAACAATATTAAGCGTGAGTATGGTTTGTGGAAAGTAAATTTTAAAAATTTTTAAAAAAATATTATGTTGATTGACATATTTTGAAAATTTTATATGCTAAATATTTGTCATTGTTTGGTTCACTTTTGGGTTATGTCTTAAAACTGTTTCAAATCATGGGTCACACAAGCCACCTTAGAGCCTGAGTAACTCTTTGAGCCACCCTAGAGCGACCACATTCGTAGTTACCTAAAATTTGGGTGATGTTTAAAGCTGCTTCATACTTCTTCAAGTCACAACTAAAACTATTTTGGATCCCTAATCAACCAAAGTTATAAATTGTCCCAAACCTTGAGTCACACCTTGAGCCCTCGGACCTCAAGTCAGCCTAAGTTGCCTTGGAGCCCAAGTTAAGGATCGAGACACCTCCAACCTTAAGTCATGACTGGAGTTGCCCGAACCTTGGTCAAGCCTTGAGCAGCCACATACCTCGGATTATGCTCGAGATATCACAAAGCTTGTGTCACGCTATAAGCCACCTAAACCCCAGGGCTTGTCTCAATGTTGTCCTAAACCCCGTCACTTAGACAATGGTGAGAAAGATTTTTGACAGTTAAAATGAAATCTTGACCTAAAATGATGCATTTCTATGTCAATTAAAAGTCAATAAAAGAAAAAAAAATGATGATATTAAAGGACAAACTAATAGTTCTTGTTAACATAGTATAAATGTCATCAATTGAAGGACAAAATGAACATAAATTGTATTTAGTAGAAGAATACTAAT